GGCCAGTGTCAGCCGGGATTCTGTCACTTCCCACGTCACTCCTGACTGTGCGTTTGCTCCATGCTGATCAGCACGGCCAGGAGCCAGCTTAACTGGGAAGGACACTGGGGATTGGTGCCGCACCAGCAGCCCAGCCTTCAGAAATCCATGCTGGGAACCCGCCCGCTGGGGCTCAGCTTCTAGAAAAGCGTGCGCCCCCCCCCCCATGCTGCCCCTGGCCCCTGTGGGGACCTCAGAGCCACTGCCTGCCCTTGGCCTGCTTGTCTTTGGGTCACACAGAGCCTGACCCTGCACCCCAGGCTCCTTTGTCGCGCTGGTTTGAGTGTGGCCACCTGAAGGTACCGGCAGGGGACAGGAGGATGGAGAGGGAGAAACCGGGGTTTCTCTCACCCCCTCCGCCCACCAGGGGCCGAGGCCCTGCCTTTGCTGTGGTCCTGGCTCCCGCCGGGGTCTTTGCAGCCAGCCCAGCCTGGCCTGCTGGCTGGCTGCTGTGACGGTTGGATTCCCAGCTTCCCTGGGGAAATGAGCAGTGAGGTTAACAGCCCATGGTCGCTGCCAGCTTCAGTGTGGGGAGGAGGAAACAGCGAACCCATTGAAGAGCAGGGGCCGTGCACGCTGACTCGGCGGGGACAGAGCCAGGCAGGTTTCCACCCCGTGAAAGCGAGTGGGGCTCCAACGCATCCCCACAGACGGGCCATTGAGCTCCTGAATGGCCAGGGGCCCGCTAATGGCATTGGCCTCTGGTTATTGGAAGAGCCCTGTTCAGAGGAACGTCCAAGACACACTTTCCAGTGTTTTGGCGAACGTGCAAGCTATAGATCAGTTACGATGACCCGAGTACTGGCTGGGACTCAAGTGTATATGCAAATGAGGGTATCGCTTACGCCCTTGCGAGATGGAACGCGTGAACCAGAGGCACTCAGGGCTGCTTGTCCTCACCTGCCCCTGCTGGCCTCGCTGGGCTCTCCACGAGACAGGACGCGAGGGAGGGAGACGTCAGACGGACGCTTCTCATTCCAGAACCACCCTCTCGTGTGCATCCCAGCACCTTTTATCGCCCTGAGCACTTGGCTGGGCCCCCGCTGCCTCCTCTTGCTGCCTGGACCCCAGGCCTAGCACGAAAGCAAGAAGGGAGCGAGGAGAAGCGGTGAGGAGCGAGCTGCAGCCAGCCTGGCCCCAGCCCTCCACGTGGACCCAGCACGCGCGGTCCTGGCGTCGGGAGGAAGCTGGTCTGTATGTCCAGCGGACTCAGAACACAGGTGCCCCTCGCCTCTCTGGGGCCGGTGGAGCAGGGCAGAAGCTGGGCGGGCTTCGTCCTCCCTCCCTAGCACAGGAAGTCAGTGAGGTGCGGGGCTCCCCCTACCATCTCCCCTCATTAGGCAACAGGGACAGCTGGAAACCCATGGCCAACAGGGGCTCTGGCAGGACTCCCGTGCCGAGGAGGTTCCGTGGCTCTGCCTGGGCCTGCTTCTAGAATGTTCCTTTCCTGTGGGAGCTGTCACAGCCGCGGGCTAAGCACCGACTTGTGAGATCACCCGACAACGGGATTCAGTTCCAAGTCCTAACCTGAGCTTCTCCGAAGGGAGCGAGGGTCGGTGCAGCATCACCCCGTGCCCCCGACACTGGCCACCAGGGGTAGTGCAGACTCCCCTGGATCAGGGCCCCATCCCCAGCAGACTGCTCTCAGCTCCGGGCTCAGGGGTTCCCCGGGCCACCCACTTTTGTATGCTACAAATTCAGGGGTTCCTGTCACCCAGTCAGGTTCCATAATTCACCAAAGCAGCTCACAGAACTCGGGGCTGTCATGTGGTCTTAACCATGAAAGACACAAATCGGGACCGGCCAGATGAAGAGGTGCCCAGGGCAAGGTCTGGGAGAGCCCCAAACTCTCAGGACACAGCCCCTCCTCCCACACCCGCATGGTCCCAACCAGCAAGCTCCCAGGACAAAGAGCAGCCCCACCCTGTAACCCAGGAAAGGTGGGGGCGGATGGACCCCCGGCCGGGGCCGGTCCTTCCTGCTGGTGTCCCAGGGGCTCCCGGCTGCTGGGCAAAACTCAGGAGAGTCCCAGACACGCACGTGGGCGGGCGGAAGTGGGTTTGCCTCTGCCCTCCAAGTCTCCTTCACAGAATAGCGTTCAGGTTTCTCCTGGGAGAGCACCTGCCCCTCACTGCTGGCCAGCAGGGGTGTGAGCAGGTGACCCAGGCCAGGCCACTGCTTAGGCCACGTCACCCACTGAAACGCAGTCTTTCCGCTTCACTTCCTTCCACGCTGGAGTCAGTGAACTAACAACTGGAGCGGGGAGGTCCCTGGAGACACCGCTCGGAGATGGCGTATCTGCAGACAGGACGGACCTGAGCCCAGGGACCGGGCCAGGTGCGGGGCGTCTGCGTCCCCGCGTGTCCCCACCGTGCGCGGCCCCTGTGCTGTCGCTGCACTAGGGTTCCGTGCTGGTCTCTCCAGGGTGCCGGGTGTTCTGTCAACAAATAAGAGTGAATCCCTTCACTTGTCGGGAGATTGTCCTGACGCACGGTGTTTGGTGTCTTGTTTTGTTCCCTCTGTGTGCTTCCTCCTTTGGCCTGCAAGGGGGCTCTTTTTTTTTTTTTTTTTTTTTTTTTTAAGATTTATTTATTTGAAAGTCAGAGTTACGCAGAGAGAGGAGGAGAGGCAGAGAGAGAGAGAGAGAGAGAGAGAGAGGTCTTCCATCTGCTAGTTCACTCCCCAAATGGCCACAATAGCCGTAGCTGCGCCGATCCAAAGCCAGGAGCCAGGAGCTTCCTCTGGGTCTCCCATGCGGGTACAGGGACCCAAGGACTTGGGCTATCTTCTGCTGCTTTCCCAGACCATAGCAGAGAGCAGGAAGGGAAGTGGAGTAGCCAGGACTTGAACCAGTGCCCATATGGGATGCCAGCACTGCAGGCGGTGGCTTTACCCACTATGCCACAGCGCCGGCCCCGCAAGGAGTCCTTTCCCCTCACAACGATGGCTTCCCCCTTCTCTCTGGGGTTGGCTTCTGCAGCCCCCTTCCCCTGTCCACTCTCTTCCCTGCCTCCCAAGATCTTTGAAGCAACTGCTGACCAACCCCAGTGTCTCAGCTGACTGTCCCAGCGTCCACCCGCTGGCCGAAGTGAGTTCCGATTCTCTCTGAGGACGAGTCCTCGCTCCCAGACGAGGCCAGGACCCCTGTGATCCCTATGGGCAGGGCCGGGGCCCCTGTGGTCCCCATGGGCTCTTGTGTTCCTTTCCCTCTTCCTACTCCACAAGGCGGTCTCGCCTGAATCTCCTCCACTGTGTCCATACCACCAGCCCTCTGTGTTTCTATACCACCAGCCCTCTGTGTCTACGACACCAGTCCTCTGTGTGTCCACACCACCAGCCCTCTGTGTGTCCACACCACCAGCCCTCTTTGTCCACACCACCAGACTCCTGTGTGTCCAAAACCAGCCCTCTGTGTGTCCACACCACCAGCCCTCTGTGTCCACACCACCAGCCCCCCTGTGTCCACACTACCAGCTCACTGTGTCCACACTACCAGCTCACTGTGTGTCCACACCACCAGCCCTCTGTGTGTCCACACCACCAGCCCTCTGTGTCCACACCACCAGCCCTCTGTGCGTCCACACCACCAGCCCTCTGTGTCCACACCACCAGCCCCCCTGTGTCCACACTACCAGCTCACTGTGTCCACACTACCAGCTCACTGTGTGTCCACACCACCAGCCCTCTGTGTCTACACCACCAGCCCTCTGTGTCCACACCACCACCAGCTCTCAGCTCCCTCTCTCCTTTCCCCCTCCCCTAGGGCCTTAATCTCCATGGGGTCCAAATCCTGGCTCCAAGGCCCAGGAGCTGCCTCGGCGTCCTCTCTCGTGCAGTGAGGCCGTGGGCGGCCCTCACACAGCCGTCACAGGCGTGACTTAGCCAGCGCCAGGCCTGACGCACGCGCTCCGAGCGGGGGCTTTGTGCACGCCCCCGCCCCCACCGTGCTTCATCCTCGGTCTGGGTTCATCAGGCCTCAGGAGGCGTGTGGGCGTTTTCGTAAACACTGATTTCATTCTGGCGCCCCGGAAGGGAGCGTGCTGGAGGCACGAGGTCCTGAGCCGTTCGGAAGAATCCTGATGAGAAGGAGCCCACGGACGAGGGCGCATTTGCTTCGTAAGTGGATCCCACTGCTTCTCCTTCTGGAACAAACCTGCTCACTGCAGCCCGTGATCACGCATCACACACAAGGGGGCGCGTGGGGGCACCGGGGGGGTGGAGCTGCAAGGCCTTCGGACGCCCGTGGACGCCCCAGTGCCCCCCAGGGGCCCGTGTCCCCGGCCACCCCTCCCTGCACTCCTCCCCAGGCCGCCCCAGCACCCCCGCAGTGCCAGGCCCACCCGCACCGCACCCTACTGGCTCGTCCCTGCTCTGGGTTGCACATCGTGACATAAGCCACTTTCCGAAAACCCCAGTCCTGCCCTGGGAGTGACGTGTCCCCAGGAGGAGGGGGCTGGGAGGGTCCCTGCTTCGACTGGGAGATGACTCGCAGGCTCCTGGCAAGAGCCTGGGCCAAGCTGCCTGTATTTGCCCCCAGATAACATCCATCCATCACCGGCCATCCCCTCAGCCCTGTCCTGGTTGACGTCCCCTCGTGTTTTGACAAACTCATGCCAATCACTGGGACCGGGGGTGCAAGCCGGGGGTCAAAGGTCAGAGGCGCAGCCCAGAAAGAGGGCCTCTTTCTTTGCTTTCCCTTGCATTCAGACACGCCCACTGTGCTTTCAACCTCTTCCCATCTCTTTCTTTCCTAGGCCAGGGCAGGGGTCTTCCGGATGCAAAAGCCCATCATTGGGGGAACGCACTCGGCAGCATTCAGCCAGGGCCGCCCACCCCTCTTCCAGACCGCGAACCTGCTGACTGGGGTGAGTAATTAGGCCACCATATGGAGCCCCGCGTCCCCGGCTCCGAGCTGAATCTCCATAATGTGCTGGTCCATCAGAAAACAGACTGAAATTATATGTTGAAGCACAGTGGAAATTTCCTCCTGCGTGTTTTATGTAAACAAGTTCATTTGTTCGTTCAGTGAACCCACAGTTCTTCAAAGGCCCTGTTTATATTAAAAGAAACAAGCAGAAAAATTTGGATTGGCCGGCAGCCAGCTCTGCACGTACACAGCCCGCAAACTGTGAGAGCCGCACTCGGGAGCTCAGATGTTTATGTTGAGATGGGCCCCGCAGCCCGAAGCCAAATATTGTTCTTGGAGGCGACAGCCAGGTAGGCGAGCAATGCAGACAAAGAGGCCAGTGTTTCGGGAAGGACAGGGCTGAGCCGCTGGCGGCTCCAGGACTCGCACTTCCCGGCTCTGCTGAGCGGCACAGAGAGGTTTTTCATTTGACAAGTGCAGGGGTGGAAGGAGAGAAAGCGCAGGCCGTCCCGCGGGGTGGGCTCTGGCCTAACCTTCCTGGACCCCAAGGAGAAAAACCTGCCAACCGAAGACCTAACCGCGGGGCCCTTTGCAAGTTCAATGTTTTGTATTGATTGTTGGCAGGAGCCTGTGTCAAACGACAGGCAGGATTCTTGGGTTGCCAGTGACAGAAAGCCCAGCTCGCCCCGGATGACGCAAACCGAGGGTTCCTTTGGGTCACACAGCTGAAGCAGGGTCGGAGCTTTGCTCCGGGTGGGGCTGCATGCAGGAACTCAAGGATGTCCCCGCACGGCCCCTTTCTGTCTCTCAGCTCCGCGCTCCCGTGGGGCGGCTGCGGGCCAGGCTGGGCACTGTTCACCTGCAGCGAGGCAGCCACTGCTCGGCTCAGCAGGGGAGAGCAGGCGCCCTGCACCCACTCCAGCTGTGGCCGGGTCGTCGCTAAGCTGATGCATTCTTAACAATCACTTGTATGTGATCGCTTGTGGTTAAAAAATACTTCCTCGAGAGAGAAATCTCATCCGTGGGGTCACCGCGCAGATGCCTGCAAGAGCCAGGGTTGGGCCAGGCTGAAGCCAGGAGCCAGAAGCCCCACTCAGGCCTCCCACACGCGTGGGGCAGGGACTCAACTGTCGAGCCACCAGTACTGCCCCCAAGGGTGCCCACTCGCAGGAAGCGGGAGCTGCAGCTAGCTGGGTATCCAACCCCGCACTCCGACGCGGGACACGGGGGTCCTGAGTGCGAGGCCAAATGCCCACCCCTTCATGCCCTTGGATTGGCCGCATGGCAAACACGGTGGGCATGGCAGACACACTTCTGATTGGCCTGGCCCAGGTCACATGCGTAGCCCTGGACCCAGCCCAGCTCCATGTGCAGAAGGTAGAGGAAAACAAGACCCCTTGGAAGTGGATTTAGGGCAGGAAAGTCCTCACCTTAAACACCTGCCAGAGCCGAACACAGAAGGAGCCGGCTATTTCTGGTTTGGGAACAATTACGATTATGACGAAAGCCGGGATCTCCGGGGGAAGCATCGTCCCAGCGCCGGCCCCTGTCTTCCCCCGTGGAAGTGACCTCGTGTCCGCGGTCTGGGAAGCCCAACGCCTTGGGTCTGGAAGCGTGGAGGCTCCGCTCTGCTGTCCTGGCCCGCACACCGGCCCCCAGGACGAACGCCCTCCTCCCTCTGCAGAAAACCAAGGGGAGACTGAAGCTGCCAAACGCCAGAGCTCTCAGCCCGAGGGCGGGGCGGGACGGGGGGCTCCGGTTCCCAGAGGGGAGCTGGGCCCCCTCCCGAGATACCATCGGCCTCTGCCCGCACACGCAGCGCCGCGGCTACAATTACCTCTCCCGATCTGGGCGCGACTCTGCTTAATGAGCAATTTGCCAAAACCGCCGCAGTGCCCACGGGGAGGCCCGCGTGTGAAGAGTGGCTGTGCCTGCGTCCCAGCCTCTGGGGGCAACGCCCTCGGGATCCCGCGCTGCCTCTGCGCCCGCCCCCTGGAACCCCGCCCCTGGAACCCCCGCCCCTGTAATCCCCGCCCCCTGTAATCCCCGCCCCCTGTAACCCCGCCCCCTGTAACCCCGCCCCTGTAACCCCCGTCCCCTGTAACCCCGCCCCCTGTAATCCCCGCATCCCTGTAACCCCCGTCCCCTGTAACCCCGCCCCCTGTAACCCCGCCCCTGTAATCCCCGCCCCCTGTAACCCCGTCCCCTGTAACCCCGCCCCCTGTAACCCCGCCCCCTGTAATCCCCGCATCCCTGTAACCCCGTCCCCCGTAATCCCCGCCCCCTGGAACCCCGCACCCTGGAACCCCGCCCCTGGAACCCCTGCCCCTGGAACCCTAACCCCGCCCCTGGAACCCCGCCCCCTGTACCCCACCCCGTCCCCTGGAACCCCGCCCCTGTAACCCCCGCCCCTGTAATCCCCGCCCCCTGTAACCCCCGTCCCCTGTAATCCCCGCCCCCTGGAACCCCGCCCCCTGGAACCCCGCCCCCTGTAACCCCCGCCCCTGTAACCCCATCCCCTGTAATCCCCGCCCCCTGTAACCCCGCCCCCTGGAACCCCCGCCCCCTGTAATCCCCGCACCCTGGAACCCCACACCCTGGAACCCCGCACCCTGGAACCCCGCACCCTGGAACCCTAACCCCGCCCCTGTAACCCCGCCCCCTGTACCCCCCGCCCCCTGGAACCCTGCCCCCTGGAACCCCGCCCCTGAAACCCCGTCCCCTGTAGCCCCCGTCCCCTGTAACCCCCGCCCCAGCTCCAGGCGGCGTTCCGCGTCCCCAGCCTCAGACTCGGCTTCAGGAAAGGCTTCCCGCCGTGTCCTGCCCGGCGCATGGGCCTGGGGGGGGGGGGGGCGGGGCAGCAGTGAGGACGGAGCAGGCCGTGTCCTGCCCGGCGCATGGGCCTCGTGGGGGGGCGGGGCAGCAGTGAGGACGGAGCAGGCCGTGTCCTGCCCGGCGCATGGGCCTCGTGGTGGGGGCGGGCAGCAGTGAGGACGGAGCAGGCCGTGTCCTGCCCGGCGCATGGGCCTCGTGGGGGGGCGGGGCAGCAGTGAGGACGGAGCAGGCCGTGTCCTGCCCGGCGCATGGGCCTGTGGGGGGGGCGGGCAGCAGTGAGGACGGAGCAGGCCGTGTCCTGCCCGGCGCATGGGCCTGTGGGGGGGCGGGGCAGCAGTGAGGACGGAGCAGGGCTCGGCTGTTCTCGCTTTCTCGCGGGGTGTCAGGAGTCGGACACGTTATTCAGGCCACAAACGGGCCCCAGAGAATTGCCAGGTCGGGGCCGTGGCGAGTCCACAGCCCACAGAAGGGATTCCCAGGACATCGTTCCATGGTGGGGAGGGGCGGCTTCTAGTCAAGGGCTTGGGAGAGCCATGACCCGGGCTGTGGCAGGAATCGCTGGCTACCCCGCCCATGTCTTGTCTCCCCTTCATCTTGGCAATCGAACCCCCAGTTTATGTGGCTCCCTGGAAGATGGACTTGCCCCCTACCCCCCTTGCCCTCAGAGAAGTAAAGGCTGGTGTTGTGCAGAGCGAGCCCCGTGTGTGAACACAAGGAGAGAACCGGCTCAGGGGCAGGGTGTGTCATGCCCTCCTTCTTCTGGCTGTCTGGAATGTGAGCATGATGGCTGGTGCTCAGCAGCCATCTTGGACTGTGGAGTGGCTACAAGGCTGGATGCTAATCACAGTGTCCCAGAAGCACGAGGGTCGACGGTCCCTTGGTCCCTTGTGACCTTACAGCACTCCCACACCCGCTGGGGCTATTGATCCTCAAAACGTCCTTGAGGTGAGCGGGAGCCCATGCTGAGGTCTATCTAGGTCACTGTTAGGCACATTTGCTGCGATGTATGACTGGCGCTGTCCTCTCGGGTACGGGGCACAGTGACTGGCCAGGCAGGGAGACGGTCTGGGGACTGAGCAGCACTTCCCGGCTTGCCCCTAAAGCCTTCCTGGTCGTGGATGGCACCCACCGCCAGCGTCCTGGCCCCGTCCTGGGCTCGTCTCGCCCTCCCTCTGCCCGCCTTGGCCTCCATCCTCCCGGTGAGTCCTGCCTGGGCCTCACCGCCTCCTCTTCTCGGTCTTTGACGTTTGCCTGTGCAGCCTTTACGGAATCTTTCAGGAGGCGCTTCTCTGATATTTCTCCCAGCTCTGCTGTTCCCCAGCTGTCCCCGGGGCCAGGCTTCCCCACCCAGGACCTGGAGAGCCTCCAAGGAAGCCCAGGCCCTGGGGCGGGGGCGGGGCGGGGGCTCTTCTCAGTGTTGGCAGAACGGACCTGCGCCAAGAGCTCCGTCACCGGTGGTCTGGACTGTGTCCCTCCACCAGGTTCGCAAAGACACCTCCCAGCCGCGTGCGGGGCAAGCTGGCCTGGCTCAGCGCAGACGCAGGGCTCCCTCGAGAGCGGGCTATGACCGACAAACCTGTGCCCTGGCCCAGCCTGCTCTTCCACCTCGCCGGCCAGACCAAATCCCCCTGCTGTCTACACAGCTCGGCCCGGTCAGCCCCGCCGGCCTCTTCCCGCCGCACCCGGGGCCCTGGGTCATCCCGGCCTGGCCTCCCCGCTCACGGTGTGCCTCTGCCTGGAACGCACGTCCCAAGTCTTAGACATGTGTCCCCTCCCCTGGACGCCTCCCTGAGCTGCGCTGCCCCATGACTGCCCCTCCCCTTCCGGCTGATTCCATTTCTTTCTCAGCGTGGCCCGCTCACCTCCTCCAGGATGGCGGCCCAGACTGAGCCAGGCTGGCTTTGGGCACTTCTCCCAGCCTGGAACGCCTTGTGCGTGCATCCTGGATAGGCTTCCACGGAGCGAGTGTGGGAGTGAGCCTGCAGGCGGACGGCAGAGCGCAAGGGCGAGACGTCCGGCAGGCAGTGCCCCTTGCACTCTTGGGATTAGCAACTTCTCTCCAGAGCTTGTAGGAAGAGGGGCTCTCGCCAAACCGCTGTGGCGCTGTGGGCAGAGCCTATCTAAGCCAGGTAAGGGAGGCCTTTCCACCTGCCAGGCCAGGCGCTGTGTCAGCTGGTCCTCCCCGCCCCGCCCCCGTAAGGGGTGGGTCCTTGCAGAGATCCCCGGCAGGGGCCCCGCAGGGTGCGTCCCTGGGTCCCACCCGCGCCCAGGGCCCCACTGCAGAGGCCCCGCAGGGTGCGCCCCTGGGTCCCACCCGCGCCCAGGGCCCCACTGCAGAGGCCCCGCAGGGTGCGCCCCTGGGTCCCACCCGCGCCCAGGGGCCCCACTGCAGAGGCCCCGCAGCGTGCGCCCCTGGGTCCCACCCGCGCCCAGGGCCCCCACTGCAGAGGCCCCCGCAGGGTGCGTCCCTGGGTCCCACCCGCGCCCAGGGCCCCACTGCAGAGGCCCCGCAGGGTGCGCCCCTGGGTCCCACCCGCGCCCAGGGCCCCACTGCAGAGGCCCCGCAGGGTGCGCCCCTGGGTCCCACCCGCGCCCAGGGCCCCACTGCAGAGGCCCCGCAGGGTGCGTCCCTGGGTCCCACCCGCGCCCAGGGCCCCACTGCAGAGGCCCCGCAGGGTGCGCCCCTGGGTCCCACCCGCGCCCAGGGCCCCACTGCAGAGGCCCCGCAGGGTGCGCCCCTGGGTCCCACCCGCGCCCAGGGCCCCACTGCAGAGGCCCCGCAGGGTGCGTCCCTGGGTCCCACCCGCGCCCAGGGCCCCACTGCAGAGGCCCCGCAGGGTGCGCCCCTGGGTCCCACCCGCGCCCAGGGCCCCACTGCAGAGGCCCCGCAGGGTGCGTCCCTGGGTCCCACCCGCGCCCAGGGCCCCACTGCAGAGGCCCCGCAGGGTGCGCCCCTGGGTCCCACCCGCGCCCAGGGCCCCACTGCAGAGGCCCCGCAGGGTGCGCCCCTGGGTCCCACCCGCGCCCAGGGCCCCACTGCAGAGGCCCCGCAGGGTGTGCCCCTGGGTCCCACCAGCACCCAGGGTGTCATCCACTCAGAGCCCCACTCTGTGTTGAATGTTGACACAGACGCTGAGGCCGCAGCCCGGGGCAGGCCAGTCCTCTCTCTGGCCAAGGAGCACTACCTCGTGGGAAAACCGGTGCTGGGCGAGTAGCATTCCTGCGCCGCCGGGGCGAGCTGCCGCAGGGGCTCCTGGGAGGCCGGCCCACGAGGCGAGGCTGCTGAGTCCTGGGGAGGACGGAGGCTCGGCCGCAGCCCTCTGCTTAACAGCCAGCGTCTGAAGAAAGTTCTGGAAGTTCGTCGGTTTCTGTGTGCTGCGTGCATTCTTTGTTTTGCTTCACAAAGGAGTGGGTCTGGGCGGGCCTTGGCTGTGCCGTTCCTGTAGTGTCTGTGATGGACGGGCCGCTAGGAGTTCGTGTCTAACAAGGTCGACTGTGCACATCGGATACCCCCTCAGCCCGAGGAGGGAGGTATCGTTACGCCCATTTCAGAGATGGGGAAGTGAAGGCACTTGGCGGGGAAGGCTTAGGTGACTTGCAAAGTGTCACCTTGGATGAGAGGGGCAGGAGAGGAGGGGACACCAGGCCTCTGGCCCTGAGCTTTGGCCACCTCCCCTCCGGCTGCCCACTGAGTCGGGAGGGGCCCAGGAGGGGAGGCAAGGCCTGATCTTCTGGGGGACAGGGGCTCCCTTTGACGATCCCCGCACCCGTGTAGAAGCAGTAAAGCCTGCTCTGACCTTATGGGAATGGGGGCAGGGCAGGCTGGGGTCACAGGGACCGACAACAGATGGGCCTGGAGTGGGTAGTCAATCCCCGCCCCGCCCCCACCTCCCGTCAGCTGTCACTGCCGTATCTGCTGTCACCCATGAGCAGGCTGAGAGGTCCTGGCAGAGGCTTAGCCTGAGCCACGCAGGACTGGATGTAGGGGTCCCCTCAGATGGGCCCAGCACTCTACATGGGGCCCCCGTCTCCCCTCCCCATCTCGGTTTATGCTGTTTCCAAGACACCCCACGCACAGATGGAGGGGTGGATGGACGGCGGCCGGCAGCGCTGCTGTTAGCCGTGTGAGTGGGGTTCCGGGCTCCTTGGGGAG